ATCGTCCAGTCCATCCATTCACTATATTCCTCAGCTTATCCTTAAGAAAAGCTAAGGGCTTACATTTGGACCCACTAATATCCTCATGTATTCCTAAATATGATCCCATTCCTCCTTCATTTTGGATCCCAAGTGTGTTTTTGATCTTCTGTCTCACATCCAGCCCAATTCTTTTACCAAAGAGTAAAGAAGACTTATCAAAATTAATGCATTGTCTTGAAGCTTGTCCATATAGCTTGACCACTTTCATTACTTCTTCACATTCACGGGGCTCCGCCTTACAGAAGAACAGACTATCATCAGCAAAGAGAAGGTGTGATACCGAAGGACACGCACGCGTGATGCGCATCCCCGTTATCTTACCCTGATTCTCTGCTTGATTTAGAAGGCTAACGAGCGCTTCCGTGCATAGAATAAAAAAGGAAAGGGGACAGAGGATCCCCCTGTCGTAGACCTCTCTCTGGGATGATGTTCCCTTTTGGCTGTCCATTCATTAAGACCTTGTACTTCACTGATGTTACACATCTCATTATCATAGTTAGACTCGGTTTTGTTCTCAAGGTATGGAACATCTCCTGAGCTATCATAATGTTGTTAGATATCTGTCTCCCAGCAACAAAGGCTGATTGGGTCTCTGATATCCTATCTGATAGAAACTTTTTTAATCTCTTGCATAAGACCTTTGAGATATCTTATAACTAACATTGCATAAGCTGATAGGGCATAACTGGCTCATCTGATTTGGCTTATCCCCTTTAGGAATGAGGCAAATGTTGGAATCATTTATAACGGAGGGAACCATTCCTTCAAATAGGAATTGATTAACCATAAGAGTTAAATCATCCTTTAAAATATCCCACAACTTCTGATAAAACAGCGCCGTCATTCTATCTGGTCCTGGGGCTTTCTCTGGGTGCAACGCGAAAAGGGCCAGTTTAACCTCCCATTCGGTAACCGGAGCTGTTAAGGACTCATTCTCTGCTAAGGTAATTGTGGTTGACACTTCAGAGAGTGCCTCCTCTATATCCTCAAGGTTTGATGATTGAAAAATGTGTCTAAAGTAATTTGTAGCAATGGCTACCAATCATCCTTCCTCATCCTCCACAACATTACCATCTTCATCCAGCAGTTGTGCAATCCTATTCCTTGCTCTCCTTTTCATCGTAAGGGCATGAAAAAATTTAGTATTCCTATCCCCATCCCTTAATCAAAATAGCCTACACTTCTTCTTCCAGAACATCTCCTCCGCCTTAAGAGCATCAGATAGTTCCTTAATAGCTGTCGCAATCTTCTCAGTGGTAGCATCATCGTTTGAAGATAAACGATCTACCTTTTCCTTGAGCTCCTCCACAGTTTTCTCGGAATTCAGGTTATGTTGTTTCTTCCATTCACTTAAAGCTTGCCGGCAACTTGCAATATGGTCCATTATACTTGCGTCTAGTGGGAGATCCTGTGATTTCCGTCCCTCAAGTATAATCTGCCTGAGCTCATCGTTATCCAACCATCTCTTGTCAAATTTGAAAATTTTTGTTCTCCTAAGTTTCTTCTTAAGAATGTCAGCTAGAACCGGACGATGATCCGATCCCCAGAGTCGCATATATTTCACTTTAGAATGGGGGAATTTCTCATGCCAGTCTTTATTCCCGACTGCCCTATCAAGGCAGCATCTAACCGTCGTCCTCCCTGCTCTATTTCCAACCAAAGATAGCATGTTCCCTCTATAAGAAAACTCCAGCATACCACAATCAGTTGACATTTTCCCGAAGGGCAAAAAGGAGCTATTTGAGCGTTGCATGCCTCCTTCATTCTCTTCATGACAGGTGATTTCATTAAAGTCCCCTATCATAAACCAAGGTCTAGTTCTTATTGTTGAGAAACGCGTAAGACGTTCCCACACTAAATCTTTGCATTCTACTACAGGATCCCCATAAACAAATGTCATATAGACTCTTATTCCATCAATGACTGCCTCATTGTCAATCATTCTATTATTTGAAAATAAAACAATAACTTGACATTCATCCATAAAAAATAAAGCTAAACCTCCGCTGAGGCCAAATGGCTTAACGGTAAATAAACGATCAAATCCTAAGTCGGCCTGGATGTCTTGCAACAGCAGCCTCCTATTTTTGGTCTCAGAGAGAAACCAAGTCCTGGGCGATGCTTCTGACACATCTCCGTTAGGCGTCGAACTGTGAGGTCGCTTCCAATCCCTCGACAGTTCCAACTGATTGTCCTCATGGATGAGGATGGGATGAGTTTTTGGAATCCATCAAACCATCATGTGTTGTAGCCGCTTCTCTTATGCGCAGTGATCCCTGCCGAGTGTGTTTCCTAGAATCTCCAGCCTCCCTGGAAGTAGACTTTGATCGCTTACTAGGAGATCCCTTACGGAGGAACTCAAATTTCTTGTTTTAAATACCCAAAGGGGCATGTGACGAACCACCGAGTCGGCTACTGCGTGTTGAATTCTGTCCCGATTTGGAACCCCTACTCCCTATGCGAGCCACTTTTTCCTTTTGTTTTTTGCCTTCAGATTCCATTAGCTCCTAGCCTAGTAAATCATCATCATTGAATTCATCCTCCTCAAGTTCAAACTCTAGCATACCTTCGGCTTGTAGCTCAATACTCTCCATGTCATTCGACGCCCCAATCATTTGATCATCCCCATTTAACTCCTGGACATCCTCATTTGAGAATGTTAAAGCTCTAGCAGATCCCTTTCAACGCACCGTTATGTAGCTCTCCATGTGAGTGTTCGTGGCATCAGCTGTTGGTGTAACAATCTTACTCGCCAACCATTTGCTCTCGCCATCACGAGCATTACATCGCAACTCTAGGTCATCCCCATCATTATTACCTGAGACTTTTGTCGGGGAGCTCGATGTATGGTCATATGGAACCACATCAAGAATGTTATTAAGTGGCGTAGGCGTTCCTTGATCTCCGTCAACAGCCGTGGATGTCTTTGATTTTGCTCGCCATTGTTGTTCTTGTCTTCGGTCATAAGGACCTGAAGCATGACGTGCTCCTCCAAGTTTATTACTCCTATAGCGATCATCATGGCGCCTAATGATCCTGTCGGAGTGACCAGTGTGACGTCGTTGATCCACCAGTGGAGAATGTCTGGAAGTGCCATAGCCATGATCTCTCGCTCTATGTTCCTGATCAGTAGCAAGGTGCACTCCACTGCGAGAATGCTCAGTTTGTCGCAGAGTTTGAGTTGTTTGATTCTCAAACGTCCTGGGAGGTGGAGCAAGTGATGGGCTGTACATACGGAAAAACACACCTGCACGTTCCATAGGAGGCAGCAGACGAGAATGAATATTGCTTGTAGGGCAATTGGCCTTCTCATGGGAAAGCAGTCCACATAGTTAACAATGTTTAAAGAGTTTATCATATTTTATTTCTATTGTGAAATCCTCACCCTCAGATGATTGAACCTTCCTTGAGAATTTCAATGGTTTTCGGGAGTCTATATCTATAAGCATACGACCCTCAGATAACTCAAAAGTATCAACATATCCCATTCTATCTCCGACATCTCTGAGGTTTCGGTCAGTCCATAGATGCAGTGGAAAGCCAGTGACCTGCACCCAAAATGGAATTTTCCATGGTAATCATCATGGAAAATTGGCTCCCAACGCACCAGCACGAACATAGAGAAATTGTAATGAAAGGGACCCTATCGAAGAACATAGGATTCTTTGATCCTGTTCTTCTGTGTTTCACGGGAGTTTTTTGTTTTCTTCTGGTTTCCTTTGCACGTGTGCACGGCTGTTCCAAGGATCCTTCGATCAACGATACGTTTACAGAGACTGGTTGATGCTCTATTTTTTTCACGAATAAAACAGTGGACAGAGACTTGTTTTTGTCTATGTGTTTTTTCATAAACCGATGGAACAACCAAGCTCGCTGGATCGCAAAGGCAAGGGACTGATGTACGAGGGAGGAGGAGCCTTTTCGTCTCATTGATGAAGAGGATTCACATGATTTGCAAGAGTTTAAGCTTTCCTTGATTGGGAAGATTCTTAATCCCAGGAAACAAAATGTAGAAAAACTTCTCAACTACATGCCAACGCAATGGGGTATGCAGGATCGTATCACATCCAATGATTTGGGCAATGGGAAGTTTTTACTGAATTTTACTACAGAAGAAGATCTCAAGGAGGTTTTAAGCCAAGGAACCTTTCACTACAATTTCTGTATGTTTGTGTTAGTTAGGTGGGAACCGATTGTTCATGATGAATATCCATGGGTGATACCATTCTGGATTACACTAACTGGAGTGCCTTTGCACTTGTGGACAATCAAAAATCTGAGAGGTCTTGGTGATTCTTTGGGACGCGTTGATACGCTGGAACTTGAGGCGGGGAGGATGCTTATTGACATTGATACTCGGAAGCCACTCAAGTTCACAAGGATGGCTACAAACTCTGATGGGGACGCTGTCACTTTAAAGATTGAGTACGATTTGTTGTTTAAACACTGCACCATATGTGGTTATTTGACTCATGAGAAGGACCATTGTCCTTTGAACTTACCAAACAACAATGCTCGGAATGGAGTCTTTGGTAGTGTTCAGTTACCGAAGAAGGAGATTGATTACCAGCCATTTCTGCGGAATCGATAGGACACTGCTCAACCAACAACGACCAACACCGACGATAATTTCATTGCTAATCGCAATCATCGGCAGTCAGTTCCTTACACTCGCCAAGGGTAAGGTGTACCAAACCACAACAGCAAGAATGGAGTCTTTGGTCGTGTTCAGGTGCCAAAGAAGGAGGTTGATCACCAGCCATTGCTGAGGGATCGAGGAGGTACTGCAAGACAGACATTAACCATTGCTGATGATGTCGTTACTGTTACTCATAACGACAGCCAGCTGGCTCATACTTCTCGTCATGGGGAAGGTTCAACACGCCACCACGAGTCTGATTACCATCGTAACAGCAGGCGTCTTGAGCTCAGTCAGGAACGAGTGGTGAGGCGGAAACATGAGAGCCACCAGCAACGATCAAGACCTTCTCCGTATGCTCGAGAACACAATTACCACTGGCGGGAAAAAGATACTGCGAGCAATTCACATGGAGATGATAAACACAAGAAAGATGGTCATGGAGAGGAAAGAAGAAGTGGTAGCAGTAAACATGATAGTTCAGCAGTACGCATACATGGAGAGGAATAGAGCAGGTTATCAACCTCACCTACAAGGAAATTAGCTAGTAAAATTGTCACACCATCACATGAGAATGTGACATTAAGGGCTAAAACTACAGGAAGGGTTCTTGGTTTCACGTCAGAACCTGCTATCTCGGCGAGCTCTCCTAGAAATGCTATGGTCATAGATGCTTTGAAGGAGGTAGGGTTGGAGGATGAGGATGCAAATTTGGATGATATGCTTGGTGAAGAACTGCTAGAGATGGAGCATGGACGCAGCGGAGATACAAGCATGGAGATAGCTGAACCTCTACCACAAGGAAAGTCGAGAAGAGAATCAAGTGCGACACACATTCAGAAGAAGAGCAGTACTTGGGGTCATCCTAGCAAGAAGTTTGATCGCCTTCGCCTTCTCACAGATCTGCCTCTTCGGAACATCCTTATGATGTTGAGGCAAAATCACATTCACTAGCTAAGAAGAAACGGTCTGGTACACACAGCAATGATGGTTTGATTAGGTCCAAAAACTCATCAAAACAATATTCATGAAGACAATCAGTTGGAACTGTCGAGGGCTAGGAAACAACCTCACAATTCGACACCTTACGGAGATGTGTCAGNCTGCCTCTTCGGAACATCCTTATGATGTTGAGGCAAAATCACATTCACTAGCTAAGAAGAAACGGTCTGGTACACACAGCAATGATGGTTTGATTAGGTCCAAAAACTCATCAAAACAATATTCATGAAGACAATCAGTTGGAACTGTCGAGGGCTAGGAAACAACCTCACAATTCGACACCTTACGGAGATGTGTCAGAAGGCTGCTGTTGCAAGACATTCAGGCCGACCTAGGTTTTGATCGTTTGTTTACCGTTGAGCCACGTGGACTCAGCGGAGGTTTAGTTTTGTTTTTTATGGATGATTTTCAAGTTAAGATTTTATTTTCAAATTACAGAATGATTAACATTGAGGCAATCATTGATGGAATAAAAGTTTTTATAACATTTGTTTACGGAGATCCTGTATTAGAACGTAGGGAGTTAGTTTTGGAATGCCTTACGCGGTGCTCAACAACAAGAAATGGACCTTGGTTCATGATTGGTGACTTTAATAAGATTACATGCCACAAAGATAAAGAAGGCGCCGGGAACGTTCAGACAGCTCCTTTTTGCCTTTCAGACAAATGCTGAGTGATTGTGGAATGCTGGAATTTCCATTCACAGGGAACATGTTATCATGGGCTGGAAAAAGAGCAGGAAGAGCTACAGTTAGATGCCGCCTGGACAGAGCTGTTGGTAATGAGGATTGGCATGATAAATTCCATCATATGAAGACACAGTATATGAGGATGTGGGGATCGGATCATCGTCCGATCCTAGCTGATATTCTTAAAAAGCGACCACGGAGAACGAAAAATTTTAAATTTGATAAGCGTTGGTTAGACAATGAAGATGGGTTTTTCAGAAATATGGATAACATGGATCATGCGTTGTATAACATCTGGTAGGTATAAGGTACTGATGAATGGTCATCCAAGAGGGAACATTGTTCCAAAGAGAGGTCTACGACAGGGGGATCCTCTGTCCCCTTTTTATTTTTATTCTGTCCACGGAAGCGCTGGTTAGCCTTCTAAATCACACAGAGAACCAAGGGAAGATAACGGGGATGCGCATCACGCGTGCGTGTCCTTCGGTATCTCACCTTCTCTTTGCTGATGATAGCCTGTTTTTTTGTAAGGCGGAGCCCCGTGAATGTGAAGAAGTAATGAAAGTGGTCACGAAATATGGACAAGCCTCTGGTCAATGTATTAACTTTGAAAAATCTTCCTTACTCTTTGGTAAGAGGATTGGACATGAGGTTAGACAAGAAATTAAAGATACCCTTGGAATTCAGAATGAAGGAGGAATGAGAACATATTTAGGAATTCCTGAGGATATCAGTGGGTCCAAATGTAAGCTCTTTGCGTTTCTAAAAGACAAGTTAAGGAACATGGTTAATGGGTGGATAGGAAGGTGGTTATCAAAAGGTGGAAAGGAGGTTATGATCAAGTCGATCCTATTAGCACTGCCAACTTATGTCATCTTCTGTTTTCTCTTGCCTTTGGAAATATGTGATGCCTTAGCTAGTGTCATTGCACAGTTCTGGTGGAGTTCTAATCCCCCAAAAAGAGGTATCCATTGGTCCACCTGGGAAAAATTATGTTTATCTAAGGAGGAAGGTGGGATCGGTTTCAGATTGATCCATGAATTTAACCTGGCATTACTAGCAAAACAATTATGGAGACTGAGCCAATATCCAGATTCTCTGGTTGCTCGTGTAATGAGGGGTCGGTATTATCGATCAAGCTCGCTATTGCTTCAGCTTACTACTAGTAACCCATCATATGTTTGGACAAGTATTTCGGCATCACGGGAACTACTGTTATTGGGTGTAAGACAGAAGATCCATTCGGGTTATGAGGTGAAAGTATGGGAGGACCCTTGGATTCCTACTATACCAGCGAGACCGGCGTTCCCATCTGTCTCGGTTTTGCATCCAAACATGAGAGTAAGTGACCTTATTAATCAAGAGACAAAGACCTGGGACGCGACAAGACTGGAAGAATACGTCAATGCTGCCGATATACCTCTTATAAAGAGTATGTCCATTAGTTCGACATATCATAGAGATACATACTGCTAGAGTTATACAAGGAATGGACAATATACAGTCAAGTCTGGATATTGGGTGGCACGGAATATCTTAAATCGGGAAGAAGTGCCTGTAGTTAGTGAACCCACTATTACTAAACTACAAGCGCAAGTTTGGAAGGTGCGGGCTCCACAAAAGATGTACCATCTTATGTGGCAGATAATAACATGTCATGTGGCTGTTACGAGCACCTTATACTATAGACACATAAGGTGTGACAATTACTGTCCACGTTGTGGAAAACCTGATGAAACAATCACACACGCCATTTTCATGTGCCCTCCTTATCGTCATTACCTACTAGCCCTACTTTATTCCCACTGCAGAGCACATATGCGAACATGGACTATCTCTTTTGGAGGAAGAATGCCATAGTAGGACCGGCAGTAGAAATGGATCCTTATCCTTGGTTAATATGGTATATTTGGAAGGCTTGGAATGACAAATTGTTTAAAGGGATTGATAGAGACCCATTAGAGTTAGCACGATATCCAGAGAGTGAACGACAAGCCTGGTTTTAAGCCAATGAGCAGACTTCTTTGCCCTCTCAAGTAAACACGGATGGTGACAATCAGATCATAAGTCTGGGGAGTATTTGTATGGTGGATGGTTCCTAGACCTCTACAGCTCAGTTCAATGGATGTGGATGGGTCTGGCAGGATAGTATGGGGAATAAGCAGTTGATGGGAATGCGTAACTTTGATAGAGTGGAGTCTACTTTGCATTCTTAGCTGGAAGCACTGCGGTGGGCAATGGAGAATATTCTTCAACATTCGCCATGTCAGTGCTTTGGGACGGACTGTAAGGAAATGATATCAATGCTAAAGAACCCACAGGATTGGCCAAGCTTCTCAACAGAACTGGAAATGCTCATCACCTTGCGGATTTGCTTTCCAGATTTTAAATTTTTCTATGTGCCTAGGACACATAATGGTTTTTCCCATTCACTAGCTAAGACTGCTCGATCCTTTTATCGAGATTTGTTGTATGTTGGTTGTTCTATTCCAGTTTGGATTCCAAGACCACCTCAAGTTTGAGTAATAGATCAGCCGTTCGCTGTCAAAAAAAAAAAAAAAAATAACACTCATAAATTTTTTATTATCATATGTATTATAAAATAATATATAAATTACATAATTTTAAAATTTATAACATTTATTGTTATAGTGTTATAAGTTTAGGTGGTTTAGACAAAAACGCTTCTTAGATAGCAAATAGCAGACAATCTAAATGGTCACAGTTTATCAAATCAAAACATTGCTCATGTTCAACACTCAAATACTGATTCTCATCTAACTCTTAACTAACGAGTATTCAACGCAAATTTATTTGATAACCCAATAATCCCTCAAGAAAATACAAAGTTGATGAAATCACCTATATGAGAGAATCATCGGATTACGATATTGAATGTAATCTTCTTTTTTTTTTTTTTGACATCAAACGACTAATCTATTACTCAAAGAACTTGAGGTGGTCTGGGAATCCAGACCGGAATAGAACAACCAACGAACACAATCTTACGGTAAAAAGATCTAGCTGTCTTAGCTAGAGAATCAGAAACGCCGTTCTGTACTCTAGGATCATTAAAAATCTTAAATTCAGGAAAGCAGATCTACACCGTCTCCAGTTTTTCCAGTTCTGTTGAAAAGTTAGGCCATGCATGAGGACTCCTAAGCATCTTGATCATCTCCTTACAATCAGTTCCAAAGCTTTGACATGGCGAATGTTGAAGCATATTCTCTATTGCCCACTGCAGTGCTTCCAACTCTGAATGCAACGCCGGTTCAACTCGATCAAAATTACGCAGCCCCAATAACTTGCTATTTCCGTTACTATCATTCAACACCCATCCACAACCACTGAAAGCATTTGTACAAGTCCAAGATCCATCCACCATGCATATATTACCCAAGCTTAAGGCCTGGTCTTCTTCTCCTCCGTTCCCAATGGAGACCAGAATTTCCATCTCATTTGCTTTGAACCATGCTTGGCATTCACTTTCTGCATAACGCGCTAGCTCCAAAGGGTCCCTATCAATACCTCTGAAAAGTTTATCATTCCTAACGTTCCAAATGTACCAAATTAGCCAAGGATAAGGATCCCTGTCCAATTCTGGTTCCATTATCGCATTCTTCCTCCAGAAGAGATAATCCATATTCGCATACGTGCTTTGTACCGAAAACAGAGCGGGATTGGTAGGCGTAGATGATAGTGCCCAAACTTGTAAGGCAGGTGGGGATTCAAATATTGCATGAGTGATCGTCTCCTCGGGTTCCCCACAGCGAGGACAGTGATTGTCACATCTCAAATATCTATAGTTTAAGATGCTCGTGACAGCTATATGTCCTGTTATCAACTGCCACATAAGATGACAAATCTTTTGAGGGGCCCTGACCTTCCAAGCATGTGCTTGAAGGTTTGTGATACTAGGCTCGCATACTTCAGGTTCTTCTTCCTTCCACAAAATGTTTTGTGCTACCCAGTATACAGATTTAACTGTATACTGTCCAGACCTCGTATAGCTCCAGCAGTACGTGTCCCGTTGATGCATTGAAATAATGGCCATACTTCTAATGAGTGGTATATCAGCTGCCGCAACATAATTGTGTAGTCGTCTATCATCCCATATCTTCGTTGTTTGATCAATCAAATCGCTCACTCGCATATTTGGATGCATAACCGGTGCCAAAGGACTTGCTGGTCTCGCAGGTATAGTAGGAATCCAAGGGTCTTCCCAAACTTTAACTTCATATCCTGAGTGAACTTTTTGTTTGATTCCTAATAATAACAACTCTCTTCCGGCCGATATGCTTGTCCACACATATGATGGGCTGCTAGCATTAATTTGGCGCAAGGGCGAACTCAATCTGTAATATCTGCCTCTCAGAACGCGAGCTACCAGAGAATTCGGGTTCTGCACCAGTCTCCAGAGTTTCTTTGCTAATAACGCAAGGTTAAACTCATGGATCCTCCTAAAGCCAATTCCGCCTTCTTCTTTAGGTAAGCATAATTTGTCCCATGTCGACCAATGAATACCCCTCTTTGGCGGATTTGAGCTCCACCAAAACTGTGCAATGACACTAGCTAAATTCTCACAGATCTCCAATGGGAGAAGGAAACAAGACATTACATACGTCGGAAGAGCTAGCAGAATTGATTTTATAATAACTTCTTTCCCGCCTTTAGAAAGCCATCCACGAGTCCATCCACGAGTCCATCCATTTACTCTACTTCTCAGCTTGTCCTTGAGAAAAGCAAATAGTTTAACTTTAGACCCACTGATATTCTCAGGGTTTAGGGCTGTGGGATTGTGACGTTATCTTCCATGGATGATGTTCGTAACGGTGGAGATACAATGACACTAGCCATCCTTTTCCTTTGAGATCCTGAACCCACCATAGCAACTATGTCGCCACAATGAACTTTATCCTCCCCGTGAAGCTCAGTTAAGGTAGTACGCGGCATTTCAGTAGGAACCAAGGAAACCGCTTGAGCGAGGACCTCTCTATATTTCTCAGCATGTGCATTCTCGACCTCATTTGCACCGAGAACATAAGATCCACTCCTATTAGCAATAACGTTTGAAGTGTGGCTCTTATCTGTCGATTTCTCACGCCATATCTTATAGATAACAAAATATTCAAGTAAATGTAAGTTGAGAAAATAAATTTGAGAAATGCATGAGATGTAACATTGTTACTTTTTATGGTGAAAATATGTTGTTAGCGAGATAAGATCATATACAAATGACATCTAAGAAAAAAAATAAAGAGTGTAAAACATACATGTCAAAATACTATAGACAGATTAGCTCCAGAGAGTTAGATATCTCACTTTCTCCTAATAAAATGACAATGGTAAACTTGTTAACCTCTGCATTTTAAACACCAAGTCTATTTTTCTGATTTAATTTTTTCTGTGTATGTTGTTTTCCTCTAAAGATTCCATTATGATAACTGGGTCAAACATAGATGGAAAACAGATGAGAATGAGATCATAAGTAGATGGACGACACATTTTAATCTGTACCCACAGCGGAAGAAACAATTCGTTCCACTATAATTCACACTATTAATAGTAAATTATTTTTTTTCATCCACATAAACATATTTGATTAATACTGTACTAACAAAACATACAAATGTGTCAATAAAGACTAAATGGGACAGTTGTTTGTGAGCACCACGTGCAATATTGTTTTCCCTTACGTTTTGATTTTCTGGTAACGTGCGTAATCAGGAAAGTATTCGAACTTTCCTTCATCTGCAAATTTCTTCTAGATAAGTTGCAAATGCGGGTCAATTTTCTGGCTCTAAAACCATTTTCACTAAATAATAAAAATATGTCGCAAATGTCATATAAATTGTCAGAGAATCTTCATGCATTCTATAGCAAAAACGAATTCTTCAGATTTCGCGTGTAGAGGGGAGAAGCCACTCCTAGTATTTCTTGCCCTTATTAATCCAATAAAATCTTTAAAGAACTATACTAGCTATTTTTTTTAAAAATCCTCTTTTCCTTCAAAGATCGACTTCTAAAACACTATCTTTACAGATCGACCTCTAAAACGCTGAGGGCATGTGGAAACGATAACAACCCACTAGACCTAAATGAAAATGCTACAGCTAAAAAGAGAGAGAAACTGATGCAAATATATACCATTTTTTCTAAGATTTCATTATCATTTAATCATCTGAGTGAAATATTTGTAAACTTTAAAATCCGATACGGATTTAATAAACAACAAGAAAATATATTTAACTCTAATAACTGCATCTGATCTATGGCATTTTATTGGATCTCTTTAACTAAATTTACCAGTGTTATGAATTAATTAACTCACGAGCATTTAGCTTATAAAAACTTGGAATCAAATAATTTATTATAAAACATAATTATCCATAAAATAAAACATTTATATAAATATGAAATACATTGATATTGTTTTATTGATATGCATATTATTACTGACAATATTTGAAATGAGTTCAATAGAAAAAACAGGTAAATAATCTTCTTGCGACTCACAAAGCAAGTCACATGCATGTTCTTGTTCTTTCCTTCATTTCCTTCATGTCACTGATGATTCTCTCACAATCATGAAAACTAAAAGAAACTTCTATAGTTACAGACTCAGCCAAATTATAAATTGTAATTATACCCGTTGAAAAAGGATTTGTTTGGGTCATACTGTAAACTTGGATAAATCTCCTCGACACCATTTCCGGAAGCTGGTTCCGGTTCATTGTTACTCACGTTATTCAATTGATGAGGAAGTTGTTGTTGTTGCTGCTGCTGGAGATAGTTTCCATGGTCAAGATCATAGGGAAAATGAGGCATAGTATCTGCCAGTTCGAGATCCTCTAGTATATCGATGTTGGAAGCCTTTTCAGGATTTAGTTGATTAGAAAGCATATATTTTTGTTGTTGTTCAAGCTTCTGCTTCTTGAAATGGTAATCATGTTCAACATAATAAGGTAAACAAGGCATAGTATTGGTCATGACCTGGTTGTTGTTCACTCCCATGTAGCCATTTTGATACTGACTGTCATGGACTGGGTAAGTAGCGCGACCATTAATAAGGGACGATGATGCAGTTTGGTTGTTTTTCATTTCCATGTAGCCATTTTGATACTGATTTTCATGGACCGGGTAAGTAACTCGACCATTCAAAAGGGACGATGATGCCGCATAGCTGTTGTTAACTTCCATGTAGCCATTTTGATACTGATTGTCTTGGAAAGGGTAAGTGGCTCGACCATTCATAAGGGACGATGATGCAGTGCTGTTGTTGTTTACTTCCATGTAGCCATTTTGATACTGATTCTCTTGGACCAGGTATGAGGCTCCACCATTTATAAGAGGTGATGTTGCAGTGTGAACATTGTTCAAACCTAAGAGAGGTGAAGTTGTACATGCACTGGAGCAACCAAACTTTTGCATCTGTTGAGTGGTTTGTTTTCCCTGAAGACTAAGACGATATTTCTGCACAAAAAATATAATTAATATAGATTTTGCGTTACTTATATGCGGAAAATCATAGATTTAATGGTCACACAGGAATCGATAAAGTTTTGGCTTTTAACCTGCAGATGACTACACACATTTCTTCTAGTGAGCCCTTTGATGTCCATGTCTTCCAGCATTTTGAGAAGTGGCTTGGGATTAGCTTCTACATTTTCATTCAAAATATGATTTGGAAAAAATAAAGGAAAATAATAAATAACTGATACAACAGAGATTAAGACTAGTAGTTATATTACTTTTTGCACCGCCAAGATCATCAACGGCTTTGAGAAATTTCTCTTGAAGATCTTTAGTCCACGCCATCCGTTTTTTCAGTTGTTTTCCTTCTTTTTCATTGATGTTTTGTTCACCGTTGTATGGACTTGTGGTCCATGAATCATTTCTGTCTTGGTATAAACCGTTACTCTGAACCAAATCTGATTGGATTGGTAGATTTTCTCCTATCATATTGACATTTTGTTCACTATTACCTTGGTCCAGGGGCAGGCAGCCATCTTTGTCTTGCTTGAAACTGTCTTGATTATGAATCACATTTAATTGAACAGGTGGAATTAAATCTAGTTTAGACATCATCCTTTTACGTACAATGTGTTGCCATATGGTAGCTATGATCTCCTTTCTAACCGGTTTCATAACATAGTTGCATGCACCATGAACTGTTGCTTTCATTACTGATGTTATTCGGTCATCATCAGACATAACTACACAAAGATGAAATAGATAATTATTTTTTTAATGTAACTAAAAGAGATTTGGTTAATTTAATACGAATTAAAAGAAATCAAAATCTTCAATTTACATACTTACGACAGGAAGATCCATCTTTGTACAAATGATTTTGAGAGCTTCGATTCCATTAATTACAGGCATATGAAAATCCCAGATAACGAGATTAATTTCATGTTCACAGTTTCTCAAAAATGCAAGAGCTGATTCTGCATCCGCATAAACCGTCACTGGGTAACAAAGAAACATATCAGTATAAACCCTAATCCTAATAGCACAATCTATCTGTGAGAGAGGGAGAAAGAGATACCTTGATATCCGTATTTGACCATGAGTTTTTTCATCTTAAGTAAAGTGACAAAATTGGGTTCGACAACAAGAACATTAGTACTCGCGGGAAATTCATTGAGAAAAGAGCTGAGTCGAGAAGTTTCTCGCTGCTTAATGAGAGTTCTATCGCCATCAGCGGTTCTACTTCCCTCCGACATTACAAATTTTACTCTTGCAGAGATTCAGACTGAAAGAGAGAGATTATATGTAATGACAGAAGATATCTATATTTTATTTCAAGAAGTTGTGTGCTTTTATATTACAAAAAGATAATTTCACCGTTATAAAGTTCTGACATGTGTCCGATAAATCTTTGAAATATTGGGTTTCTATTTAATAGGTCTACATATAATGGGATAACCATTGAATACCTTGTAAGGAAACAAATTTATAACAAAGAAAGACTGCAAATAGTTGTCAATCCAACTTTTCTAATATTCACTTTCATTCTAAGGAAAAAAAATAACTGTTTATGTTTCCTCTTTTCTACAATTTTGGTTGCTTTGACTGTATTTCTTTTTTTTATATAGATTATATAGAAATGTAATAAAATTGTAAGACTTTTAATGAATTTAAGATGATTTTTATTTTGAATACTTAGTATGATTTTTTCATTACTTTATAAGAGTTTCATTCCGATATTAAACTTCCATAAGATGTTCTTTGAAAAACTTTTCATAATATTTACAAAAATATAAATGCCCTTTACATGTGAAAATATTAATATTATTAAATGTTTATATATATAATGTATTTATAATACATTAGTTTCGTACTAAATACTAATCTTGACTTTTGTTAATTATTTAATATCTTATATAATAAAGTAGGGTTTTTTTCTCCATAGAGGAAAAATGACATTTGTCATACTATCATTTGTTGAATTTTTTGAGGCCATATAAGAATTTTTTTATTAATAATATTTTAAGATTTATATGTGAGAAGAAATCAAAAATTATATAAAATTACATCATAGATTAGAAAATACAACATATTTTAAAAATAAAACATAATTAATAAATTTGATATTTTAATATATTTATTTATAAGTATACATATCTTATATGTTAGAACCTATAATTATATTGTTTGTTTGTATTCACAATGGAATTATTGTTATATTTTCTTAACACTTAATATATTTTTTATGAGATTTAGTAATATTATATCTAAAACCAAATTTAAATTGTATGAAATATATATATATATTATATACACTAAATAACATAATAAAATTAATATATTAGTTTATCTTATAGTAAATATGTTTTAAAATAAGAAATCTAAACAAGGAAACATTTGTACACTAATATTTTTATATAAATAAAATTTCAAAGTCTCATCAATATTAATTATTTAGATTCTATTGTATATAGATTGAGAGACCAACCAATGTGCTTATCGAAAAATGCCTATTTATTTGAATCAGATTTTTGTAATGTTTATCTTGCGTTATGGTTGATAAGAAAAAAAAAACAATTAAGGTTGATAATGAAAAAATATTCATTGTACAACTACTGGTATTTTCTAAAAATTTTTTTTCTTATATACCATTTTATCATTTAGATTCATTGAATTTGAATACAATAATTATTTACTGAATGAACCTGGATTTCATGCTAGGAAAGTAGGAAACAAAAGAAAAAAAAAATATGTTGTATACAATATGTATGAGTAATAGGCCATATGTGTATTTTGTTGATCCTTATAAACTATGTGACCTTACACTTTTAGAAGTGACACCATGATATAATAATTGTAAAGGTTTCCTTTGGAAACAAGTCACACAGAAGACATAATGATATTTGTAAAATCAATAAAGTTTGTAATGTATATGATCTGAAATAAGTAATTGGTCAAATAGGTAATCGGGTCACATCGACAACTGTTTCGTTATCTCGAAATGTCTTTTAATATGCACAATTTAAGTTGATCAGTATTTTATAAAATAATTCACTTTCGTGATCATGCAATCTCGCTGATAACACATCAAATTCATATTCCAATAGTCTTTCGCCAATCTCTTTTTCACAGTCATAATTTTATAAACTTGAAAACATTCACGAAATCATTAGTTCCATACGATAACCTATCAAACAAACACAATAACTAGGAAAAATAATTTAACTCAGATAATAAATTCATTATATCCCGCCCGTAAGACAAGCCAACCACTAATATATTAGTAAAATATGGAGCTTGAACTTTGTCCTTTCTATGATTATATTAATAATACAAATATAGAATAACACTAGAAATTTTTGTAGTAATAATGAAATTAATATAACTAATAACAAATAGTGCATGGACTTAGAGTGAATATTGATAAAATGTTCAAACAAAGCCAGTGTACAACTTTGTATCCTACCAAAAAGAAGGTATAAACTACATGAATTGTAAGTCTTTGAAAAACGCTTTATACATTATGTTGAACATATTTTGTTAAAAACATATTCGTTGGTGATTAGTCAGATACGCGGAAAGTGAATGTCAAGCATGATTTAATGCAAATGAGTTGGTGCCTCATGCTCCACATAAGCACAATAGGGCCGAATCTCACTTAACAAGATTGGAGAATATCTATTTGGATGGTTTATGGACCTCCACAGAACATTTCAGTGGTTGCAGATGAGTTTAGAAAGATAGCAGAGGAAAATTGAATTTATGGGGATGCGAAACTTAAGAAGGCGAGAGACTACTTTAATGCAAGCACTGAGATAGGCAATAAAGAGCAAGCTACAACATTTTCCACGTCAGAGCTTTGAGACATATGTAAAGATTTGATTGCGATGATAAAAGATTCTCAAGTATGGCCAAGTTTTGCAACGAAAATTGAGGAAATCAAGACGCTACTGATATGCTTCTCGGACGTTAAGATATCTCATATCCCAAAAAGTACAAAACAAAATTTCAGATTCTTTAACTGAGATTGCGAGATCTTTTCATAGGGAGCTTTGTTACATTGGTTGTTTATTCGGGTCTGGTTACCCAGATTATCCAAATTAAGTAATATAATAACCATTGGATGTAAATTTTTTTTTTTTTTTGTTAGTTATCATAATATTTAAACCAATATAATCAGTTATCACAGAATTTTAACCAGTATGTGTTATGTGATGTTATTCTAGATACATCAACATACGATTAGCCATGTAAAAATACATATAGTACCAAAACAATCATTTTTTTTTAACATCTATCCCAGAATTTTATTAATTCTTATTGTCACTACAAGAAATATCGGCATTAGTAGCGTCGAGAATGTGCTACCATATCGTTTTCGTAACGTTTCGAAGAACGCCGTGACAGCTGCAGCTATAACTGACCCCCTCGTTATGATAGTGTTTTTCGTGTGTTATGTTAAATAGAGATATTGTAGTGTTAATCTTCAGCTATACGACAATCATTTATAGCATTTGATTTGTGCTATTATGTAGATTTCTATGGCATTTTAATCAGGTTGCAACATTGTTTATAATAACACATTTTCAGTGCCTCTGAATTATATATATTATTTATATACTAAAACACAAATCTCTCAAAAAATTAAATTTTGACAAATGGAAAATGTATTTAAAAATAAAAAAAATTGATTAAAACAAAATTGCTCATCCCTAATTTTTAGCAACTTCAACCTAATTTTTCTCTAATAGCACATTCACGTTCAGTGTTGAATGATCAAAATTTCAACCGTATTTTCTTATGTAAATCTTGATTTACTAATTTCATTTTTCTTATCATCTCCATTATCATTTTTGTTCTCTACGATTCTTCATATAATTTTTTTTTACAACAATTCAGAACTTTTATTATTTAACACAATTATTCTCACGGAAAGTCCATAACTACACTCACATGCAGTGAATTTTCAGTTGAGTCAAAGGAGGCTAAAGGGACAAGAATCAAATTTTAGCCCGACAAAAAAAGTTTACCTGTTTTCCAGTCTTAAGCACTTTTCTTTAATTAATGTTTCCTTTGCTGAATCAACAATTTTTCATTATTCATCACAACAATTGAGTTCGACGATAAAACTATTTATCAGGGACCTTGGTTTTATTTATTTTTTGTGTAACTGAAATTTAATTAGGTATTGCTGGAAAATTCATTATGGCTTACTAAAAATCAAACAAAAGTTGTGAATTTTAATATTATAAATTCAAAAAAGTATCAAGATAAAAACAGTGGGTTAATTTTGTTTAGATGTGTGTTTTAAAAAAAGATATTAGGTAAATTATCATAAAATTTCAATGAATTATTTAGACTGTAAAATAAAGGGAAATTAATATTATAAGATTAATTGTATCTAAATTTATTTACATTAAAATAATTCTTATTATTCAGTAAGAAATCAATTTACAAATTAATGTCTCAAATAAATTACTTTTAACTGTATTTTATATTTTGTGCAGTTCATATAATGTTTTTAAATAGTATTATCTTATTGAAAATAATGACACTGATCAAATAGTTTTAAAAACAGTAAATTACCCATGGGCGGTTATAATTGTATATATATATATTATAAATTATACAGAAATACATTTAATTTACTTTTAAATAACATAAAACAGAAATTAATTTGTAATTAACACATTTTAGTTGATAAAAAATAAAAAAAAATTGGTATTTTTATAAAATGAATTTTGGGTTAAATAGTTTACAATTACATTGGTTTACAATTACAAATTGGTTTACTAATTAACCCAAACATAATCTAATACAGCCACCAAACTACAGTCTTCTTCACTCTCTGCCGCACTCAACACACCACGACCATGCTGCTCGCATCTCCACTGCACGACCACCACCACCGCACCACAATTAACTGGAGACACCACTCCACCACCACTGCGACAATGGCTGTGTTTGCCTCCTCGGCTTTAATGCTTCTTCTACATTTATCACCAATGGAACAACCCGATCCCTCGGCGTCCGACCGGGGTTAGCGAAAGGGAGTTACGGGCACGTTTCTACTCAATTAGACAATCCTATGTTTCCCTTACTAGTCCCAGGAGTCGGCGGACACAATCTTTCAAGGAAATACGATCCATCCCGAAGGTTAACAATTCCTAGACTCTAGACGCCCACCCGTTCTCGGTGGTCCAAACATGACTACAAACAAGTTCATTGACGCAATCATCTTTCCATCCTCATTCAT